TTTCTTTTTGTGTGATGAGAAAGAAATTATTTTACCTCTCATCACAGCTTTCCCTGCTTCCCATAGAACAGAAGCAGATATTCCGGGAGTGTCATTAAAGTCTAAATATGAAGTCCATTCCTTTTTAAAGTATTTAATAAAGTCTTCATCTTTAAGTAGTGATATATTAAATCTCCAGTTTTTACTTGGCGTGAATTTAAATTCATTAGAGGAACCCAACGATGACTTTCAGCCTGTATGTGCATGTAACTGTAGCCCCTTTATTTAGCACAGACTAGATCGGCTGTTCACCCTGTTCCATTCATTTGTGTCCTGATGTCATGATTGTGTTATTAATACGCTGTTATCTCAACGTCTGAGCCTCTCAAAATGGTTCATGAATAAAATCAAACCTTTGGAGTAAAAGTGTGCAGTCGAACCAAATCTTGATTTAACCTCCGCTGCAGTCGTGTGCATAAAAATGTCATTGGCCATAAACAAATGGACTAAATGTCTCTCTGACATGAAAACGAGCAAACAAAAGAAGCCAAAGCGTTTAGGTGACGCCGACTCACTCACCGCCGTCTGCACAGCTTTGCAAACATATAAAAACGGCAGTCGGTAACTCCGAGCTGCTTTTTCTCACCTTCATCTTCCTCCATGCTACGCTAGTTCTCCTGCTAGCTGTTGCGAGTTACAAAGTGCATGCAGAACAACATACAACTGAAGTGGATGGATTGGCCTGTAGATTCACTGATATCCGCACTTCTCAGTCAGGATCGGGCGGATGTGCAGCTGCTGAGGCAGGAACAGTGAGCAGAGTCTAGTTTGGGATCTGTGTGGATTACTTTGATTTGGAAAGGCCACCACTTCAGTATTTTTCATTTCATATAAAAATAAGATAATGATGGTTTAAATAAAGTCCTCCCTCTAAAGCCAGTTGTTGTACGAGCAGAAACTCGTCGGAGCTTAGACTGAGAATAGTTTTATTCATTTCTTTTCTTTGCAGGCATTTCTTCGACCATTCAGGGAGCACCACATCGATCCGACTGCCATCACTCGCCACGACTTCATCGAAACCAATGGCGATAACTGCATGATCCCCATCCTACCGCTGGCTCACATGGCCTACAAGTTCCTCAGTTACACACCAGGTAAATCACACATGTGCTTATACCGGCTGCAGAGACACAGATCTCTGCACTATCGCAGTCACTGTTTGAGCTGTGCTCTTGTTGCTGGGCGAGTCAGTTTCCTGTAAATATCTGCTAGCAGCTGTGGGCACATCTTAGATGTGATAAAGGTTGGTCAATAACGAGAACAGCAGTTCTGTAACCAGTCTGCACGAATGCCACCATCTATCAGAACTGGTGACCTGATGGTCAGTAGGGTCCTTAGAACATGGACGCTGCTGCTGATGGAGGACTTGATGGAGCACGCCATCCCCTAATCTAACTGGTGTTTAAATCAGCATGAATGTGATGGATAGGCAGAATCTTGGCACATGTAGTTTTAGTGTCAACACTAGACTAGAAAGAGCTGGGAGCTCCTTCTTTGCTCCATCATATCTTTGTCAAGTCAAGTCAAGTTTATTTATAAAGCACATTTAAAAACAACCAAGGCTGACCAAGGTGCTGTACAATAAAATACAAATATAAAATACAATAAAACGCAAGTACATAAAACACCTCACTGATAAAACAATAAGTTAAAACAGTAAGTTAAACCTTGCTAAAAGCCAATGAGAAGAGGTGAGTTTTAAGAGCAGTTTTAAAAGTTCCTAGGCTTGTGGAGAATCTGATGTGAGGAGGTAAACTGTTCCACAGTCTGGGTGCAGCCACAGCAAAAGCCCTCTCTCCCCTTTGTGCCCACTATCTCTGTAGTAGTAGTGTCTGAAAACAACCAAGAAAAAAGATGAGTATTTCTTCAGTGAAAGAAGAAAGGTAAACCAACAAGTGGAAAGTCATTTAGCCCTTCTTTCAGATTGGATGAACCAAACATTCACCAACCAACCAACTGGCTGGGATTTGTCGATCTGATCAGGTGAAGGAAGCCCAGGATGGACACAGACAGCTGCTGTTTGGAAACCTCAGTGTGTCATAGCCTTAAATATTCTTCTTTTGCTTCCTGTGTAGAAAAAAAAATCATCATTGCCATTCTTATTATCCTGAGAAGCTCGAGGGTGTTACATTTTAGACGTTTGAGCTAACTTCCTACAATTAAACCTCAAACTGGCGATGAAAATGCAAGGACTTCAGAAGGTCAGCTACAGTGTCAAACAGTTTGTAGCTGTGCCTTAGTACTGCAAGGTGCCAGACTAATGGAAGTTAAGGAAAAGCATAGGGCAGGTGATCATGTGCACTGACCTTACAGCTGCAGGGCAAGAGGTGGGAGGGACTGGAGGAGGAAGATCAGCAGGAGAAACTGAGCAAGCTGTTATTGAGGAGGTGACATCTCCACCTGTCATGTCTACACTACAAGTTGAGCTGAAAGGTCACTGATGGGAGGAGCGGAGGGGAGTTGACATCAGTTAGTTGGGTTAAAGGCTAGGTTAGCTACCGTGCTGTGAGGTTAAGCTGCTCCCAAGCATCTAGCACTGTGCATGTCTGATAAAGTGATAAACCGAGGTAGCTGGATAGGAAACGAAATAACAAAGTACCAGTGTAAAGTCTGCACTGTACTTCATTCATACATTCAGAGGAAAAGAAATGCATGCACGAAACAAGTCTGTTTCTATTTGTTCAATTCTATTTATACAAATTTATTTATATAACAACAGTCGCCTGTTATTGTAAGGTAGACCCTACAATAATAGGTACAGAGAAAAACCCAACAATCATATGACCCCCCTATGAGCAGCACTTTGGCGACAGTGGGAAGGAAAAACTCCCTTTTAACAGGAAGAAACCTCCGGCAGAACCAGGCTCATGGAGGGGCGGGGCCATCTGCTGTGATTGGTTGGGGTGAGAGAAGGAAGACAGGATAAAAGACATGCTGTGGAAGAGAGACAGAGGTTAATGACAGATATGATTCAATGCAGAGAGGTCTGTTAATACATAGTGAGTGAAGAAGAAACACCCAGTGCATCATGGGAGTCCCTCAGCAGGCTACACCTATTGCAGCATAACTAAGGGAGGATTCAGGGTCACCTGGTTCAGGACTATGCTTTAGAACATAAAAGACAACGATCGAGTTGTTACATTCGCATAAAACCCTAAATAATACTACTACTGCTGCTAGTACTGCTGCTACTACTGCTGCTAGTACTGCTGCTAGTACTGCTGCTAGTACTGCTGCTAGTACTGCTGCTAGTACTACTACTCCTGCTACTGGTTGCTACTTTTAGGGATTGCCACAGCACATCATCTACCATCTAGCCTCGTCTCTGTCAGTGCCCCAGGGTGGCTGTGGCTATAATGTAGCTGCCATCACCAGTGTGTGAATGGGTGGATGACTGGATATGTAAAGCGCTTTGGGGTCCTTAATGACTGGTAAAGCACTATATAAATACAGGCCATTTACCATTTTTACCATCTACCTCCATCTTACCATCTTCCTACCTCCTTCCTGTCACACCAACCCTCTGTATAGTCTCCTTCACTACATCCATGACTCTGTGCACGTCTGCTCCTGCCTGGCCGCTCCATATTTAACATAATTTATCCAGTATAGGCCATATCCCTCCTGTGCACACGTATTCAGTAGTTTTCCAGTGCTTTTGGGTACCTTTACTGTGGTTTCTCGGAGTATAAACATAAAACTTTGATTTGATGGCCTTTCTTAAACAGTCCTGTGTCATTATTATCTCAGCAGGTGTTTGTGAGGGTCTGGTAAGTGTTGATGTGCAAAACATCCCTTTTTAAAAAGTCTCCATTCAGAAGAAATAAATGCTTCACTTCTTCAACGAACATAATAGCATCATCGTACGCGTCTGAGAGGTTGTGCAATATGGAGCAGTTTAGCTTTCCTAACTTAGCTCTACCGTGCATGAGTGAAATACATTTGAGTTACTGACATGATATTAGAGATTAGATGTAAAACTAACCAGAAATGTCAAAAGAAAGTAAAGGTTAAAAGTGTTATTGTGTTTGAACGGTGTAAGTGTCTGTAAAAGATCATCGGTACGTTTAAGGGGAGTCAGACTTTAACAAATCGTCTGAAACCAAAAGAATGAAAATGTTAAAAGTTCAGCTGCTTGTCCACAGGAGGGATCCGTGCATGAGGCGAGAGGGAGGAGAGATTAGAGGCAGCAACAGTGAGGTCCACTTGTAGGTGACATCCACACCTGTCATGTCACACACCACAGGGAGTCAAGAGGTCACCAAACGGACGCAGTGACATCCACACCTGTCATGTCCGCGCCTTAAGAGGTCGCAGCTAAGCGTTCGAGGGCGAGAGCGCACGGAGAACAGAGGAAGCGAGAGAGCGCGCGGGGGCAGCGGAGGGTCGCGTAGCGGTGAGATGACATCTAAACCTGTCATGTCGAGCTCCTCGCAGCGTCGGGCGGTCACCAGACAAAGACGGAGACAGAGGTAGACGGGGAAATCTGAAAAGCGCGAGGTGACATCTCCAGCTGTCATGTCTGCACTTGAACTGGGGTCAAGAGATTGTAGTTTTCACCAAAGACAAGGGACAAGGCATGGAGACGGACAGAGAGAGGACAGCTGTAAGTCACAGGAAGACCGAGAGCTATCAGCTGACAAACCAGACTCACACGTTCATGGAGGCTGTGCGCATCCTTATACTGTTCATGCATTCATTATTGTCAGAAATGTTGTGCGCAGCTGCTTCTGTGTGAGTCCTGACATGTTTGTCAGCTGTCAGCTCAAATCAGCGCTGACTCCGTAAACAGTTTTCAGCTACCGATGACAAAATGCTTGTTATAGGCGAGTGCGTGGCCGCGGTCAGGACGTCTGATTAATCAGCTGTAGTGTTATCAGTCCACCGGTGTCTGTCGTTGTCTTTGGGTCAGAGTTTGCATCAAAGGGGACGCATGTCCAGCTGCAGTTAGTGTGGGACAGCGTTCCACGATCGAGCGAGGCTCGGCGAGGCTGAGATAAACATCTTCCTTTGAGCCCCCCTCCAGTTAATCCAACTTTCTTTTGATTGGCTGCTCGTTGTAAAACAATGATGGAGCGTCTGTGCTCGCAGTGCTGTGTGCCTGACCAGATTCAGTGTATCCAATCCTGCTGACATCACAGAGGGCCGAGAAAGGGAAAAAAAGACATGGCTAACCCGTTTCTGTGATTTATGTAGTGTTGTCACTGAGTCAGCATCAGATACTTTTAATTTCACCCTTTACTTCCAAAAGCTGCACTGAAAGCTGTTTTTTCCTTTGTAGCACCACAAAGAATAACTGAAAGTCTTCAACATCATTTTGTAAATGCACGGCTCATTAAACGTTCAAATGTGAAATCAAAATGCACCTTTTTACAGTTCTCGCTGAGAGGAGAGATTCGGAGGTTTCCAGGAGTTTTACTGCTCCTGACATCAGACTGGGCTGCACGTGGAGTTTGACACTGCAGAGCGTGATATTCAGAATAAAGATGGTCACTTGTCATATAACATCTCAGCTAATGTCGACTGTTTGATGGTGACTCCGCTCCTGTTAGAGTTCAGGCTAAGAATGAATAAATGGGACTCAGCAGGTTACCTCTTACTTGGTGCAAATTAACATCACACCAGATATTTCTCAATAAAAGTACTCCATATTTTTTGAAGTGCTCTCTCATCCCATTGGTTGACAGCTTTCAGTGACCTTTTACTGTGTTTCACTGTGACTTTGTGTTACCTTCGTTCCCCAGCCTTTGCATGCAAAGCCAGCAGCGCTCGGGTCGCTCCCTCCATACCTGTGCAGGTGTGACGTGTATCCTGAGCCTGAGAAGTTCTTTAACCCTTTAAAGCCGGTCGGAGCCGGTGTTCTGCACGCTCTGTTTTGCGTAACTATTTTTAAATCTCGGTAGCTCTGCAATCACGTAAGCTAGCGCAATAAAAATTTTTGCATATGAAACCGGAGGAGTTGTACTTGCATCTTATGCCATCAGCTTGTCCTCGGTCACGGTTTCCTTCCACATATAGCTTTGCAAAAACTGCATAAAAAGCACTTGCAGCAACACAAACATAATATTCCAGAAACACGCTTTGCCAATCCGATCAGCTGTTTGTAACACTTCCTACGTCCATCAGCTCAAACTTTCGCATGTCCGCCATGACCTGCCCGAAACTGGAAGTGACGTCATTTTTACGGAAATGTAGTTTTTTACCATCAGGGCCTCATGAGCCTATACTGGTGTTTTTAAAAGTTATGTTTGACTTTATGACTTTCTGTGTCGTTTCTGGGATGCTGAGGACTCATATTGCACTGCTGGAAATAGTTTATTTTGATGCACATGCTGCTTTTTTGCAAATTTGTTGTATAATATTTATTTTCGTTTTTCCTGCAGTATATAAAAATTGGTGTATTTCAAAAATAAAACTATGAAGACACTCAAAATAAATTTCCTGTGGTGGGAAACTATTTTGTGCAACTTTTTTGTATTTACAGTTTTGAGGGATGAGCCTCTTAAATTTCTCTAACTAGAAATATATGTTAAAAAAACAAAAACGATTTTCAATTTTTTTGTAGTTTTTTGCACTTTTTTGCAATTTATGTAATTACTATGCACCTAATGCAGACATATTATTAAAGTTTGGGCTATAATGGTTGTATTGATGTATAGCAACTTGAAATGCTCCCGAAAAATGGCTCCACAGCATGTAAACATATAATATAAGCTCTGGCGGACTTGGTTCTATGGTAGGTCTTAAAGGGTTAATGTTTAATGATTCATAGTTACGTTTAAACACCAGCAGGAAGTTAGGTGCTCAGTAAAGAACAGGAAACATGGCCTCGTTTCCTTCTTTGAGTGTAGACTGCTTACTTCCTCACCCCTGACCTGGTGCCTGCAGTGTGGCAGAATGTGTGCAGTCATCTGTTCGTCGTCTGATTGGAAACATCATGCTAACCATTGCTAACATCTTCTTTAGATAAAGTATGTTTCATCCTCTCCTTTCAGGCTCTTCAGCACCTCCGAGGTTCAGCATCTCTGTGGGAGTCCTGCTCCTTCATTACACTGAACACTTTGATCAATTATTCCATTAACTTTCCCTCGTCTTCTTTCTTTGTGTCTGTTGTCACCTTTCAGAGGCCTTGCTGGAATCCTACCCCTGGGATTGCTACGTCTTCGCCCTGGCGGTTTTCGTCACGCTAACCAATCAGATTCACAAGTGGAGCCACTCCTACTTTGGCCTCCCGCGATGGGTCACGCTGCTCCAGGACTGGCATCTGGTGTTGCCACGGAAACACCACCGCATCCACCACGTGTCGCCGCACGAGACGTATTACTGCATTACCACCGGTATGATGCTGAGCTCCGTATCAGAGGGGCAGACGTGACTGCTACTGTCTCGTGACAGGACGGTCACTCATGTGTCCGCTCAGATTCCTCGGCGTTCTCGTAGAGTCGTGCAGGGGAATCAGCCCGTGTCTCTGTCAGGCTGTCAGATATACAGGGAGTGCAGAATTATTAGGCAAGTTGTATTTCTGAGGAATAATGTTATTATTGAACAACAACCATGTTCTCAATGAACCCAAAAAACTCATTAATA